CTTGTCGCGCAGGCCGATCCATGCTCGACGTCTGGTTCACTAATACCAGCGCCCAGATCATTTGTTGAATTAAGGAAACATTTCGTGTTGGAAGACTCATTGCGCATCGCTTTGGAATTTATGCATCATGCGTTAGCTATTGGAAATACATCGTCTCTTTTCATGGAGAACAGCGTTCTGTTTGTATATTAGAAACCTGATTTATATCGGGCGTCACGATACCTAGCTACAAGAGCAGCTACTATTACATAAGCTCAACTAAGGTATACGACGATACCGGTGCCTAAAATATTTGGTCGATTGAGACAAGCCGTTTGGTGCACTGCCGCCGGTGATCTTCGCCTCCAAGGGACCCCCGCTTTGTTGCGTTCTCGGATCTGGTGTCTGTGGGCAAGTTGCCTCTGGCGCTGTATGCCATCCTCATCTGTGCTCTCCAATGCACGCTGACAGGAACTTAATCCTGACTACGCCCCCGGCTCATATGGAGAGTTGGTCGTCAGATGTGATACGGCTACAGATCCCGATCCTTGCTTCCCCTGAATCCTAGACATGGTCACGTTGGCTTATAGTACGTATACATCCTATACGTAGACTACGTCCCTGCTTACACCCAGCTCGAAGATGCAGTGTACCCATCGGGGTTCAAACCCGGGACCCCTGACATCCAAGATGGTGCCTTAAACGACTGAGGTATCCATGCTGATTCAATAGCTCTTCAGTTTCCTAGGATCTACGACCTCTATTTGAATTACGCTGATTGGCGCCGAGGTCGGTCGCCGTTTAGCCGGGGGGCCGTGTGGGATACTGTGCTGTACATGTTATGATATGGATTTTCAGATATTTTACGGATATTTTCTGAAGTCACCTATTGGTCAAAGTTACACGGAGGTTACACGGAGGTTACATGGTTAACCATGTTAGGGGTTCGATGCTGGCGCGGCTCTATAAAAGCCGCGCCAGCACCCACCCGACACACACACATACACACACACACTCACAGACACACAATAAACCCCACCTACGACCGCCCATCCCGGGACTACCCAAGAACTCGTTCACACAACTGCTGTCCAGTCTAGTAAGGTCCACTTTTGTGGACAACCGGAGCCAGAACACCACGGGCCCCTAAAGCTGCCGTTGAGTGCCAAATATACCAGCAACTCCGCCACAGCTCCGTGTAAATGCGGGGCAAATATAAACGTTGCACAGGGAGCATTTCAATGTAGACTTATGTCCTCTCCATCCCTTTTTCTTGGTACCACAAAGTGCACAGTACAGAGTAAAGTCCCTCTCGACTGACGGCCTCAAGTAATGACAGTCCCTGTTCTTGTGACAGATATGCCGTCTCAAGGCGAACCCCCTCCTCATATGGCCCCCTAATGGCCGACTCTCCCCAGAATAATGACACGCTCGCCTACAGTGACAAACTCTGTATAGTGACAAATATATTGGACTTGTAACTGTTCATGTGATAGATTTTTCTTTACTTTTGAGACTCTTTGCGCGAAAAGTATTGGGTGATTTTTTTCTAGCGTGAGTTTCGGCTCCTGTACAGTCCAGTTTGGGCCAGTTCAACCCTGAGAAGCTGCAGCATCTCCCGAGAACGAGAGCTGTTAATCGCTTGATGGCTCTCAGCGAGCAGCACCTCAGTCTCACAAATAAGAGCACGTGCTGATGCTTGCCAACGACCCACAGAGCCTTTCGGGGGTGCCTCAATGGCATCGGCATCCTCATCCTCCGCTCCCTCGGCAGAATTATCACTGTCCAACACACACGAGACCACATCGTGAATAGAATTACCCTCAATCGGATGGCTTGTATCCTCCTCTTGTTCCGCATTAAAAAAAGAACTGAGTTCAGAAACGTCTAAATTATCAATAACGGAGCAATTCTCGAGTCCCCTGAGATCATCAGCCAAGTGCTCCATAACACCATCGAGCCATTCAGGTTGCGTTATGTTATGGTTTGTACAGTCAACATCACTTTGTACAGTAGTGTTCTCAAGATATTTAAGATAGTCAGCGCCCTGACACTTTGCTTCCCGTGACCGATGCTCAGATATTGTGTTCTGTATTTGTAACAGTGTTCTACTGTGTGGCAGCTTGGCACTCTTCCCACAATCTGTGGCAGATAATAAAGCAGCACGGAGCTCTCTGTCTTGATAAGGTGCCAGTATGTCACAACTCAGCCAACCATTAATAACCACCTTTGTCGGCACGACGTTCCACGCTGTTGCCATCATACACACCGCATCATAAATCGTCACAGCTTTTGAAAGCTTAAATGACTCTCGACACTCAGGGGGTTTCGCCATCTGTACATTGACATACTCCAGTACGTGATTAACCAACAACCTCCTAAATGCCGCTTTAAAAGATCTTCCAATGGAGGCGTCTACAGGCTGTACCACAGATGTGAGGTTAGGTGGCAGAAACTGGGTCTCGACATTTTTAAAGCTGCTGTAATCAATAGCATGCGCCGAGCAGTTGTCCACCAGATGTAAAACTTTTCGACCTTGAGTGGCAGCTGCTTTATCTAGTGCAGTGACCTGTTTCTCTCAAAGATATTGTGTATTCCAAGCATGACCTTGATTATAATAGTATATTCCCAAATCTCGCGTTGGGTCGAAACGCTTAGGAAATGATTTAGGCCTCTTTGACTTTCCTATTATAACCAAAGGTGCTTTAACTCCATCTGCAAATACAGTGAGAACAGCTGTGAGCCTATCCTTGATTCTTGTGTAGGAGGACGCGCGATCTGTAGTACCCACTGTACGTGAAGGGAATGAGCGATACAGTACAGCTACCTCATCTGTATTCATGAGATCTGTCGGGATTGTTGTGCAAACTAATCGGCGCAATCTTGATCTGGCATTCTCTACGAATTTTGCCTCATGCATGCCGTTCTGTCCTCGAGGTTTAAAACTTGCCAGGTGGTTCCGATCCATAAAGTTATGAAACCAATGCTTGCTACCTTTAAATGCTTTCAAAGAGAACATTCTATCCTCGAGAAGAGCTCTTTCTGGTTGGCTCTCGTTAGTTACCAATTTGGTTTCCAATTTAGTTACCATCTCGTCTCGGATCTCGAAGGCAATCTTTCGTATGACATCTTCTCTAAAGATAGACTCACCTCGTAAGTAGTTAATCCTGCTTCGGATGTAAGTATTCAATGCTTGATGTAGTTCTGGGTGGTCGCATTTTCTAATTGTTTTCCGTTTCTTGTTGCTTTTTAGTGACTCATCAGTCTGCATAATGGCAGGGGCGTTTCTTTTCCAGTTGTAAACAGCAGTCCTTTGGACGTGCAGAAATTCTGCTACTGACTTCACGGTATATGGCTGTTGGTTTTTTGGGTTGAGGTAAGGTCGTCCGAAGGTTCCATCGTCACGTGCGCCGAGGAGGCGCAAGGCCTCCTTCTTCGTGGTAAGGAGAGTGTGACTTCGCTTTCTGGCTTGATTCGTTGGTTCTGCCATCGACATCATACCAGAGGGGGCGTGATTTGAGGCGTTCAGAGGGGATGGGGGCGTGACGGAACAGGAAGGAAGGTCTCGGGACTCGAAGGGCCCCTCGCAGAGAACTTTACGCTGGTGAGGTGTTTACGTTGCATGTTGGTAAAGGGGGGGTGCTGGAGACGTCGGACAAAAACCTCAATATTAAAAGGAAAAAGTACTTGTAATTGTCAAGCAATCACCATTTTTTACGTTTTGCAACGGGGACACTCTCAGCCTGTCGTCCACTGGGACTTGGCGAAAACAACCACGGACACAGAAGAGGAGTGAGATTGAAGCGCGCGGACACTTTTGCACCTCAACCGAGCATTAAGATCGGACATCCAAGCAAATAAATAAAAAATAGAAAAGTCCGCCTATTTTGTATTTTTGGGTTGTTGCACACTTATACGTAGAAAGCCGTAAGCAATCGATTGAGATATTTTTTCTTTAATTTCAACCACGTCGTTCTGATATACGGCGCACTATCTGGCGCCGTTACGCGCGGCGGTGCTCCTTGGCCCGTGTCGGAGATATTTTTCAAAATATTTTGCATGTCCGATTTTTTTGTCACTGTCCGACAACACCAGCAACCCCCCTTTATATTGCGACACAATCGATGTATCATTTGGGGACGGAGTCAGGTACAGCGTGCATGAACTGCTTACATGAGCATTACAGAGAATACTGGCTACAGTGACATTCCCTCTGTAGTGACAAAAACGCCCCAATTGGTGGAACCCCTTTTTTGTCACTGGAAAGGGACTTTACTCTGTACTGCGCTACCTCTAGAATTGCCTGAGTTTGTTTGTGGCCAGTAGTATCCAGACGTAACCGCTTTCCATCGCCAGCGCTAAAGAACTCAATTCTTCTCCTTCTTCGCCGTTTAGCTATTTTTTTGAGTCTATCTCTTTCACGCCACGTCACCGGGTCTCGACTTTGTACAACATTCAGAATCACATGGCTATGACAATCATATTTCGCAAGATTGTCCGCGTACTGCAAACGGTCTGTTGAGAGGTCTGCGATGACGTCCGCCAAGGGTTGAAATTTATTGAGAGGTTGCCTGTACCTCTCTAACGAATAAAAGCGCTGTCTTGACTCCAGTAAATCCTCGCGCTTAAACGTTCGCCATGCAATGAATCCTTTAATAGGTCTGCCAAACAAGTTTTGTGCTCCCATTTTAAGTGCTACGTCGAGGAGCAGTTGCATTGTGCTATCAATCTCGACTTTAAAGTGACATCGTGTCCATTAGTGACTGCAGCTGTGATTGTGTGTCCTAATCATTTCATGTGTTGATATCAATTTACCTTAATAAGGATAATTCTCCTTACTGTGCCACCCAGGCTAAACGTTACTGGCATCACTATGACGGCCATTGCTATCTCTATCGTTGCTGGTATCATCATCACGCGTACTACGGATATTGCTGCCGCAGTCATCATTATTAGGACTGCTCGCTGAGCTACCCGCACCACATGGAGCGCAGTTGTTAGAATGGACTCAAGGGGTCACAATGGGATTATCTAATTCTTTTGTTAGTCTGGAAGTCGACGACAGCTGTTTCAGTCTCAATGCCAATACATCGCAAAACAATTTCAAGTCCCTTTCATGAAGTGTAATTGCTCGTAAAATTACCCGCGAGGGGTATCCTTAGTTGGCTGTGTGTGTAGGCATCGCGATGTACCCCGTTTTAGTTCAAATAAAAGCGATGAGAAGCAGGATTCTTGAACTTGTGTGTTCTATTTTCTTAGGGTTGCCGCACGAGACCCAATTTATACTACTTTGCATCTGCAGATGTGGTCTCAGGGCGTTCCAGATCATGTGACGTAGTCGACCTCAATTCTGCTGAATTGAGGAAATCAATACTGTAGCTTGTTAGATAGGGCCATTTACTACGGGTCCGATTATACCGAATCGAATCTACCTTTGGTGTTGACACTGGTGTCAATTGTAGTGACATCACTACAGTAGAGTGCTAACGTATTACGTGATCCTTTCGTAAAACCAGAGAGGAAGAGTTGAGGTGTGGAACTGTATCCTCAATATGTATCAATACCTATTCAAACAAAAAATTCTTGTTTCCATACCAGAACTTCACCCATGCAATCTAACGCTATCAAAAAACGACGGCTGTTGTCCATGGGGTCATAACTCAATACAGAGAGTATCGTATCTTAACAGTGTAAAGTGCTCCGTCTATTTTCGTACAGTAGGTGTCTGTGGTATCTTTACAGTTTTTTACCGACATGTCAGATGCTGCTCCCTGCGGTGGGAACACTGCCACTTGGACACATCCCCCACATGACAACAACCCTGTCCGTGCACAAAATAGTTGCCCCTCTTTGCAGTACGCATCAAGTGTCAGACGATGGTCAGGGCTGAGAAGGCTGATGATGTTGTTGTGTTTATTCTGTTCAGAGTTGCTTTCGAGATCTGTGTAAATGCTGCGTTGCATGTGCGGATGCGTCCTTAATGCATTCCAGATTGAATGACGCAGTCAAGCTCAATTCTAGTGAATTGATGAAATCGGCGCTGTACATATCATGTTAGATACGGGCAATCGACTATATGGGTGCGATCGTCCTGAAACTACTCTTGGCTTAAACTTTACCTGTCGCTACAGTAGTATTGCTCTTCAGGGAGGAAGCAGTCCAGCGGTTCACCATACAGTACTCTGTTGCCCCAATAGGGGAAAGTGAGCCAGGTAAAGAAAACAGGAGGATGTGTGGCCGAAGGCCACGGTAGACTCTACCGTCGAAGAGTTGCGCAGCCGCCAATCACCGCCGCAACTGTCCGCTCCGTCACCCAGCGTTCCACCTCCCCCTTCGTGCCTTTGTTCTTCACCTTTGGGTGCTGTAAGCCACTTCGTGTGACGAGCAAACCCGCACCAAAAAACTTTCGACGTCGCGTTCTTGCTTCGTTTTGCTTGTGCTCGTACTTCTCACTACTTGTTCTCACAGCTTGCACTCCTTGTCACTGTGGAGGAGAGGCAGCTGAGGCGCAACAGGATAAACCGTAGCACCCACGCCGTACGGCAGCTCACTTGCAAAACTGCCACAGCATGAAACGTCCGTTTGTGAAACAGGGTAGCACCCGATTACTCTTGTGCTTGTCGAGATCACCCGTCTAACCCGCCGCACTGTCGCCCTTGTGAACCGCTTTTCCATTCATATCCGCAGGCCTATAATCGATGACTCACAGACTTTACCTGGCCAGAACGACACGTCCCAAAACTTCCTCTTGCTTATAAAAAACTTCTTTTGCATCTTTCGTGTCGTGTCCAATCACGCTAATGTACAACCACTCTTGGTCGGTAGCCACTACGCGCACACCTCCCCCTCCGAGAATCATGCCCCTCTGATTGCAGAATATTCGTCATGGATACGGCAACTACGTAGCGCGTTGGCAGGGAACGCATGCGCTAACCCCTGGTAGCCGCGCTTCCTTGTCCGGGTAAACAATCAACGTCTCCAACCAGAGCTTCGCTTTTAGCCTAGACAACAAGTCAGCGGCCCTTTCTATTTTTTCGCCTTCGCTGAGTGATTCTTCACTATGGGACCAGAACAATGCTTCGAAGCAATTACGGCGTAGTGTACTTTGCCAACGCGTATTCTTCCCGTCCGATTCCTTATATTCGTGTCCAGGTAGTCCCATGTCACGTGCAGTGTCACCAGAGGTGATTGCTTGTGTGAGCGACGAGGTCACTGCATTGTTGTAGTCAGAAACCGACAGGATAACCTTTTTTTGCTCTGTTCTTGGTCCCGCTCCGTGAATGCGAATTAGAGCATGGGCTGTTCGTACGGAAGAGCAGACTGTCACTGCACGCTTGGAATAGCAAACTCTCAGTAGCTCATGTTGTCGGACGATAGGGGCATCCCTCGATCCCACATGTAGAAACGCTCTTCGACGCAAATTTCATTTCCTGAAGAAGAAACTCATCGCCGACACTCGCTCTCATTGCTTGTTGTTTCAGTCTTGGTCCTGCAACTGTCACCGTTACACCATCCTCGCAATGTTGCTGAAATATCATCCTGCTTCTTCGTCGATGCCACTAGGCGTGCGTGGCACACAAACTCTTCCTGGGATTGTGGACTAGCAAGACCGCTCGCCTGTCTTGTAGAAACCACCGAACCAGCTTGTGAAAGAACTGCATCAGTGCTGTGACGCTTTCCTTCTCTCCCGCTAATGTTGGTGATATCTCGCATCACGGCTTTGTCCACAGTGTCTGAGGGCCCTGTGCACGTTTTCTTGGAATAATAGCAGGTAGTCAGAGCCGTACAAGCAAGATTAAACGAGTTCCCGTTCGGCTTGACCGCAAAGTTACCGAAAAGAACATGGTACCCGGGCTCGAGCTATTCCGCAAGCGAGCCAAGCTCCTTTGGCAGCGTGCACAGGACCGACGGCTGGTCGGCGTCCTCCGCGTCCGTAACATCGTGGGGGCCAACGACGGCATTCTCCTCTTCCCGCTTGACCTGCGCGACAACCGCATACACCCACCGCGGCGTGTGTTGTGCGTCTTGGGGCGAGACGCCGAAGGCGGCGTCTCGAGTGTGTGTGACGGTAGAGATGCGCACGAGCGCGAGGACAGTGCGCACGAGCGCAGGGACAGTGCGCACGAGCGCGAGGACAGTGCGCACGAGCGCAGGGACAGTGCGCACGAGCACGAGGGCAGCGCACACGAGCGCGGGGACAGTGCGCGAAGGCACTTAGCAAATGGTGCGAGATCACCCGCGGGATAGAATTTGACACCAGGGGTTGTAGAGGCAATGGATAGGGAATAAGGGAAAAAGGCAGAGAAGAAAGGAATAGGGGTAATGGCAGATGAAGGATAAAGAATTATCGCAGCACTCCTGGTTCCTATCGGCGCAGGGAGTCGGGAGCGAGTCCTCTGTCCCCGCTTGGCGATCGTGCGGGCCCGGTGTGTATCGCCCAGGTTGACTACGGCACGTAGTCGGGCTTAGCACTCGTAGAATACTTCAGCCTTTCGGCGAGAAGAACTCGAAGTACGCAATAAAGCACACTTTAATGATGATGTCATCTAGACTGTCAACAGTCTTATGGCTCATGAACAGCGGACCTAGGGGAAGCAAAGAGTAAACGCAGCATACAAATACGGTATCTAGCTAAGACGCAGTTGCTGTTCGCAACGGAGAGTGGAATGTACGTACAGTACAGATCATAAAAAGAATCACGAGAGTACATCGACCTTATCTCGAGATGTAGGACTTGTCCTTTCCACGTCATTAAACAATTCAGGTGTAGTCCGGTCCAGCAATGTCGTGGCTCATAGTCGACATCAGCAAAGTCTTGCTAATGACAGGTTGAATGCTCACCAAAGCGTGAAGTTTACTTCGTTCCGTGTTCCGTATCCCTCTCTCTCTTCGGCTCTGAAGACAACCCTCTACGATATGTATCCTATCCTATTTCGAGCAGTTGATGGTTTCCTAGGAACAGACAGTGTCGGTTCGAACAGTGTCAGTAGGCTGAACAGTGTCGGTAGGGCGAACCGTTGCAGTAGTGCAAGAAGTGTCGGTAGGGCGCACAGTGTTGAAGCACCTGCACACGTAAAGATCACTGAAGGTACAGTACGAGCACGAGTAGACCAGTCCCCCCCCCAACGAAGTCTTGTGGGACAAAGAGGCCTTGTATGGAAACCTTGTACAGTGCATCTAATGTTGACGAATGACACGATTGTATCAACAGCGTGAGCGCGTGCTCATTCCACACGCGCTGCAACGAGAACGCCTCGGGCGGCTCGTCGAGGCCGAGCGCGCCGGGCCTCATTGAGTCGAGGTCGAAAAACACGTGCGGCGTCGGCATCACCACCTGCGTCACGGCGCCGCCGAGCACTTGCGCGTCAAACTCCTGCGACGGCGTGGCAGCCCTCTGCGCGAGCGCGCTTTTCGAGGCAAACTTGACGACGTCGACCGGGCTTTCCGAGGTGCCTCCACATGCCTTGCGCTCCGGTGTCGCTGGCGCGCCCGCGGCCTCCTCCCCGGCATCTGGGAACGTCGTCCGCACGAGGCGGACATGCTCTGCGACAACCCCGCGCGGCGCGCGGCGGGGGGGGGGGGGGGGGACGAGACGGTGCGCGTCGAGCGGGACGACGGCGCGCGGGGCGACGACGCCAAATTAGTTGGAGTGGGCACGAGACAGCGACAGGAGCTGCAGTTCTATTCGGGATCACGCGCTGATTGTCGGTCTTGGAAGGAGTGTGTGGTTCATTCGGGTATCTTCTTCCCTCGGACTGGTGCGCGTGTACTGTAAGGGTACCGGAAAACTTGCAGGGTGAACGGAACGCGTAGCTCCAATTTCTGGGGCAGAAGCCGATTCGCAGATTATCGGAAATCGCCCAATAACCATTCCATGTTGCTAATTAAGGAAATTGCGCTGCTCTTCACCAAGACAATGGCCATCGTTGCCGAGTCTGTGTCGAGGCACTGCATTCGTGTTCATCGCATTCGAACGCATGCTAGTGTGAAGCATCCTTGATACACCCGGCTGCGGCTGCAACGTCCCCGCCCATTGCGCCGCATGTATCTTCGAGGCAGGAAAACTCTGAGCAATTCCGCTGCCGACAGTCGAGTGTCCATCATGAACGATTGTTTCATA